GTGATCGACTGATTATGCTTGTATTTTGTCGTTGTTCGGTATATTATATTAAGGTGAACATGTGGGGCAGATGTGCATGAATTTGCCAAATGTAAGGATGGATGTCGTTGATTTGTGTGAGTATGGCCGCGCTGACAGTTGAGTTTTTACTGAATGATAGGCATGTACACGGATCAGAGCGGGCAGACATCGTGCAAGACTGCGAGCACTTGCTTGGCTGGCACCTACCAATTTAGCGCCTCAACGTCCACAAGCAATACCTACTGTCTCCCATGCGCAAGTGGTACGCACTAAGTATTTGATCGATTTCTGCGTCGCCGCTGTTGGTTCTCGCTCGCTGCCCATGGCCGATGGTTTGCGATCGAGCACAAGAGGGAGCATGGCCACATTGACTGTTGTGGAATGGTGGTTGAAATGAACCATAGGCAAGTACACAAATCTGAGTGGGCAGACGTCGTGCAAGACCGCGAGCACATGCTCGGCTGGCAGCTACCAATACAGCGCCTCGACATCGACGAGCAACACCCACTGCATTTCTTGTGCAAGTGGTATGTGGCAGACATGCCGCGTTGTCGGGCTTTGCTGTGCCTTATTCTTGCAAGCCTCGTTTCTTGGTGTCCTTCGTGTGTGATTGGGTGTTCAAATGGGACGTCATGTCTCTGTGCAAACTCATACTGACTGTCGCGTGATGGTCGAACTGAATTCTAGGCAAGTACACAGATCAGAGTGGGCAAACGTCGTGCAAGACTGCGAGCACTTGCTCGGCTGGCACCTACCAAAACGGTGCCTCGACATCCACGAGCGACACGGATTGTCGCTCTTGCCCAAGTGGTAAGGAGTGGTGTGGTGTGGTGTGGGAGCATTGCCCGCGCTGACAGTTTTGTTGTTACTCAATGGTAGGCAAGTATACGGATCAGAGCGGGCAGGCATCGTGCAAGACTGCGACGACTTGCCCATTCTGTACACAACCGAGCACAATTTTGAAAAATGATGAAGTCGATGGTCATGCCTCTGGCACTTCATCTGCGGCTGTTCTCAAAACAACACTTGGTGACAGAGATAATCACATGAAGACCACTATAACCACGGTGCCGTTACCTCGTGATGAAACATCCTCGTCTTCGAGGCAGATTGGCGTCGGCACCGTTTGGGGTGTCGTGGCTGGCGTGATTGTGTTTCTGCTTCTGTTTGTCGCCTTCATCAAACGCCGGCACAAGCATCCTAGAACTGCTCCTCATAGCTTCACAGACACCTTCAATGTCTTGACATTTGCGGAGAATTCGACGCATTCCTCTTGGGAGTTAGAACGAAGCCGTCTGTTTATCTCAAACCGTATTACTGCCACTCCTTTTGGTTCACTCAGCACTGGCTATCTTGAAGTAAGTCAGAATAGTCCTGTAATCATCATTATATGCTTGCCGGTGTCATCATCATGACCCATCGTTTTATCTTCGTTTTTCTACCCTCTTATGCTTGAATAGCCTATGAACAAAAGTCACAGCGGGCGGTGTGTGCCCGTGCTGGTTAACTGCCTGGAGGCGCATAGCGCCTTAAGACTTCGAGATGCCTTCATGGCAGAGGCTTCGATTCTCAAACGCATTGGTCGCGATTGCCATCCTTCGATAGCTAGGTACGAGCATTTTTAACCACGAAAGCTCTCTTCGTTTGCCTAATCCATGCCACCTTCAGTTCGTGATTTATTTCATTCGCTCGTGTATTGTGCGCCTTGCGTTGCTGCTTTATGCGTGCTGTTTGGTGCTAGCCTCGTGGGAGTGTGCTTCCATTCACAACCATTGTATGTCGTGCAAGAGGATTGCGAGCAAGGCTTTTTGGCCACTATGTTACGTGATTGTCGTGGATCTCAGAATTTGGAGGAGAGCTTGTCCAAGGCTGATTTATCCAACATGTGTCAGAAACTCATGTCGGCCGTCGAGTTTCTGCATGATTCAAGCGTGCTGCTCATGACCTTGAACGGCTTTACTGTGATGATGGATGTCCACGGTGAACCACGCATTGTTGTTTTGGGTCGCGATCCCAAACTGCATTTGACGTGCGGGGAGGGAATG